AAGCCAACTCAATTTAAAAAATAGGCACAGGATTTGAGTAGACATTTCATCTAAAAGGATATTCAAATGGCCAACAAACACATGAAAAATGTTTAGTCTTTAGCCACCAGAGAGATGCAAATTAAAACAAGAAGGAGATACCATTGTACTGCCACTAGGATAGGAGCTCTGGTAGCATAGTGCCTAAAGCACTTGACTGCTAACCAGAAGGCTGATGGTTCAAACCCACCAGCCACTCCTCAGAAGGAAGATGGAGCAATCTACTTCCATAGTGATACTGCCTCGGAAACCCAAGGAGGGGTCCGACTTGACGGCACATAACAACAACAACAACAGGATGACTAGTATGGTGAAAGGGTCCAACTGTGATGTACACCTTTCTTGATTTTAAACCATGTAGTATCCCCTTGTTTTGTTTGAATAACTGCCTCTTGGTCTATGTATAGGTTCCACATGAGCACAATTATATGATCTGGAATTCCCATTTTTTGCAAAGTTATCCATAATTTGTTATGATCTACACACTTGACTGCCTTTGAATAAACAATAAAACAAAAGTAAACATCTTTCTGATATTCTCTGCCTTCAGCCAAGCTCCATCTGACATCAGCAGTGATATCTCTTGTTCTACATCCTCTTCTGAATCTGGCTTGAGTTTCTTGAAGTTCCCTGTTGATGTATTTCAACAACTGTTTTTGCATTTTCTTCAGCAAAATTTTACTTGTGTAAGACATTATTGATATTGTTTGATAATTTCTGGATTCTATTCAATCACCTTTCTTTGGAATGGGCACAAATATGGATCTTTTCCAGTATGTTGGCCAGGTACCTATCCTCCAAATTTCTTAGCTGGTCTATGAAGCAAAAGAATCAGATAGGAGGAAGACTCATTAACAACCTGCAATATGCAGATGAGACAACCTAGTTTGCAGAAAGTGAAGAGGACTTGAAGCATTTACTAATGAAGATCAAAAACTACAGACTTCAGTATGGTTTACACCTCAACATAAAGAAAACAAGAATCCTCACAACTGGACCAGTAAACACCATCAAAATCAATGCAGAAAATATTGAATTTGTCAAGGATTTAATTTCACTTGGATTTGCAATGAACTGCCATGAAAGTAGCAGTCAGAAATCAAATGACAAATTGCAGTGGAAAAATATGCTACAAAAAACTTCTCTACAGTGTTAAAAAGCAAAGATGTCACTTTGAATATTACAGTGCACCTGACCTCAGCTATGATATTTTCAGTTGTCTCATATGCATGTAATACTCAAACGATGAATAAGGAATACAAAAGAAGAATTGATGCCTTTGAATTATGGGGTTGGCGAAGCATATTTAATATACCATGGACGGCCAGAAGAACAAATGACTCTGTCTTGGAAGAAGTACAGACAAAATGCTTCTTGCAAGTGAAGATGGTGAGATTTCACCTCACATACTTTGAGCATGTTATCAGGAGGGACCAGTTTCTACAAAAAGACATCCTGCTTGGTAGTAGAGGGTTGGCAAAAAAGAGGAAAACTCTCAATGACATAGACTGATACAGTGGCCACAACTACAGACTCAAGCATAATAATGATTTTGAAGATGGCACAGAACCAGGCACTGTTCTATTCTGTTTACATAGGGTCAATGTGAGTTGGAATGACTCGAAGGCACCTAACAAAAATGATAACAGGATAGCTAAGATTAAAATTTTAAAAAATAAATAAAAATTGAAATTAATGAATGTTGATGAAGATGTGGGGAAATAGGAACCATTCTCCACTGCTGGTAGGAAGCAAAATGATATGACCCTTGTGGCAGTTTCTCAAAAAAACTAAAAATAGAACTACCATGTAACTCAACGATTCTGCTGCTAGGAATATACCCAAGGGACTTGAAAACAGTAATATGTACACCAATGTTCATTGGCACATTATTCACAATAGCCAAAAGCTAGAAACAACCTAAATGTCCATCAGCAGATGAATGGATAAACAAAATGTGGTACATACAAACAATGGAATACCACTGAGTCAGAAAGAAAAATGAAGTCTTGATATGTGCTAAAATATAGGTGGAGCTTGAAGACATTATGCTGAGTGAAATAAGTCAATCATAAAAGGACAAATATTATATAATTATATAAAAAGACAAGAATAGGCAAATGTGTAGAGACCAAATTTTATCAGTGGTTACCAGGAGCAGGAGGAAGGGGTAAAGACAGCGTTATTACTTACGGAGCATTGAGTTTCAGTTTAGGTTGATGGTAAATTTTCATTGATTAAGGGTAAAAGTTGTGTAGCCAATTTATGTAACTATTGTCAATAACTTGTACACCTGTAAATAGTTGAATTGGTAAAAGTTGTGTGATACATGTATTTAGAGAAACAATAATAAAAGATTAGCTGCTTAGGCTGCTTATGTACAATCAAATATCTCATGAGATTTGGTTTCATGGTTCAGAGATTTAGGATTATAGTTTCATGAGACATCACAGTTAACTGGCCTAATAACATGTTCAGTGCCTCTGTTCTACCTCTTAGTTTGATTCATAGTGCCTGGGGTCTTAAAAGCTTTTAAGTGTCTATACTAGGCATAACAATTTGTCTCTATTCACCAAGAAGAAAGAAGAAGAAGGAGAATCAGAAATAAGAGGAATATAGGGAATGTGTAGCTAATTGCCTCCATAAACAACTACCTGCTTTGCCATGAGACCAGAAGAATTGGATGATGCCCAGCTACCGTTACTGAACATTTTGATCAAAGATTCTATAGAAGAATACTGATCAAAAAGGGGAAAAATGCAGATGAGAATTGCAAATTTTTATGGAATCCAGACTTTCTGGAGCAATTAAGCCTGGAGGAATCCCTGAAATTATTGCCCTGAAGATAGCCTAGGACAACCAAACAATAGTTTAACTAGTAAAGACTGCCTTGAGCATTGTGCTCTGTTAAAGAACCATCTATAAGGGATCAAATTGACAACAGCAACTCGAGAGACTAGATGAGATACTTAGGGGGTAGTGAATCCATGTTAAAAGAGGAGTGACAATTTGGAAAAGAAGGGTAAGAATGGTTACACAGTTTATAGAATGTAATCAAGGTCCCTGAATTGTACATTTAGAAACTGTTGAATTGGTGTATGTTCTGCTGTTTGTATTTGCAACAACAAGAAAATAAATTATTAAAATAATTTTTTTGAGAGAAAAAATACTACAATAAAATAGATGGTATACAAGACATGGGATGTATAGACTCTTCCAATTATGTGTTGATTTAATCAATAAAAGTCTATAAAGGTAGGCTTATTTTCCATATTCTAGGGTGGAAGGAGTACACCAAACTATACTCCATTCCCCTATATATTGCTTATATATTATAGCATTTTTCAAAAATAATATCACATACCAATGGTTTACTGTTCCTTATTAGAGCATGTTTCAATAGCCCTGATGGTTAAAGTGTTCAAAATTATATAGTTTGTTTAGGTGAAGCAATGCTTCAGAGTAATAAACATTTCAGAAATGTAATGAGTATCTACTGAAGACTTTACTTCTCTGAAATGCAGTAAGAGATTACATAATGGATAAAATAAAAAATGTAGGAACATTTGGAACAAAAAGAAAATGAGTGCACTTCACTTTTCAACTACAATAAAGGAGAAGTTATTAAATTTCATTATTGCTTGGATTTTATTTTCTATTTTCAGGCACTAACTTAACAAAGACATGGTTAGAATTTTTAGACATTGTCAGTTAGGAGGAATGTCAGTTAGGAGATCATTTAAGAAGATGTAATTAATGATCCATAACAACAGTAAGGCCATTGGAACCAGGCTTTATTCACCAAGAAGAACAGAGGAAGAAGGAGAATCTATGAGACCAAAAGAACTGGATGGTGCCCAGCTACCATCACTGGACATTTTGATCAAAGATTCTTCTACAGAATTCTGTAGAAGAATCTTTGATCAAAAAGGTAAAAATGCAGAACAGAATTTCAGGTTTTCATGGCATCCAGACTTTATGGAGCCTTGAGGATGAATGAACGCTTGAGACTATTGCCCTGTAGATAACCTCATGGAAAGTTTGCTTTCATACTAGACACAGAATGTAGCTGGTGCCAGATACAACCAAATCAAATTAAGCTTATATTGATAGTATCATTTAATGCAATCATTGAGTTGCTTTGAACCCAGTTCAGTTCCTCATTTAGCTTGTCATGTTTCTTTCCAAACTTCTGTTACATTTTATTACTCTTATATGACATGAACATCGACTGTTGTCATTACATTAAGTTTTCACTAAAATAAATAAAAAACAAACATTGAATTGTTTTAACTCATGGCAACCCCATGTGTTTCGGAGTAGAACTGCACTCCACACAGTTTTCAATGGCTATGACCTTTTGGAGTAGATTGTCAAGTTGCCTGTGGGTGATTCCAACAGCCAACTCTTCAATTAGTACCTGAGTCCTTAACCATCTGCACCACATAGAGACTCCTCAAATAAGTAAAGCATGGTTAAATCTTATATTCCATCCTTCCTAATAATTTGGGTATTTATCTATATCTCCAAATATATGCTATATGTGATATTCTAGAATATGTGCTATAGCTTAAATAAATTGACTAAAAAAAAAAATTAAGCAATTTTGAAGTTAGCAAAAACTGCTTGCAAATTTATGTGTTTAGGAACTATTCAGAATGCTATATCTTTTCTTGGAACTCAGCTTATTTACATTTAGAGGTAGTCCACTTAAATAATAGAAAAATTGCCAAATCTCTGGTTCAAGCCTTGAAAACCTAAATATCTGGAGGCCATGCAGAGAGCCTTCTTTGTTTATGTATTATGAGCAGCTTACAATAATCTATGGATCATACTGAGGTCTTTACATAAAACACATTCAAATCTGGGTAGTTTGTTAAGCCAAGGAACTAAATGACCTTGACTTGTCTTACATGTGGTCCCACAACACGTCTGGATGTGGCCTTTCCCTCCAATTGAAGATTACAAAGGCAGGATTTGTCATAGAAGCAGAGGATAAAAGAAGGCTCACTGAAGACAACATTCGGAACTTCTATAGTCGAATAGCAGACCAGGTAAGAAAATTTAAAAAAAAAAAAAAAAAAAAAAAAGACTTCTGCTATATTTTTTGAATATAATGTGTTACCATAAGCTTTAGATTCTCATTATAGAACATCAGTAAGTCTAACCAATCAAATAAGTTTTGGGTGGCCTTGTTGCTGTCACTATCATGGTGATGCCAGTGATGGCAGCTGTGGGGAAATCCCTAGTAGAAAAAGTAGCAGCTGAGCACAACTTGATGGTCTGACTTTGTTTCTTCAGGTTGTTTTTTTTTTTTTTTTTTGAGGGATGTGAAAACTTCTTTATTCCATGATCTCCAAGATGCTCTGCATCCGCATTCTAGAAGTGAATATCCAGTCTTTTCCTATGTATTTTGCCCTTATTTGAAAGTTCGTTGTCATAAGCTACAAATACTTTACCCTTTCTCTACCTAAAGGTCTTTTTCTCAAGCTGCTTCTTTAAGTCGCCTTCACCTGGGTAATGTAGTAAAGACAGTGCTGTAGTGCCTAAGGCATTTGACTTCTAACCAGAAGGATGGCGGTTCAAACCCACTAGCCACTTCTCTGAAGGAAGATTGGGCAATCTACTTCTGTAGTGGTACTGCCTTGGAAACCCAAAGAGGGGTCGCTATGAGTCCGGTCTGACTCGACAGCAGTGAGTTTGGTTTTTTTGGTTTTGTGTATTGGAAAGTGCACAGGTTTAGCAGTCAGAAGACATAGCTTCTAAATTAAAAGTAGATAAAATTAAAAATTCAGTGTCTCAATTGCATTAGCCACATTTCAAGTCTGGTCGTGTAGTGCTTGACTGCTAACCAGAAGGCTGACGGTTCAAACCCACCAGCCACTCCTTGGAAGGAAGATGGGGCGATTTACTTCTGTAGTGATATTGCCTTGGGAACCCAAGGAGGGGTCGCTATGAGTTGGGTCCAACTCGATGGCACATAACAACAACACAACACTATCTATGAACATCTATCCTTCACAGATCTATTTATTAACATCTATGCTCCAAAAATAAGTTTATAAGGATAACAATCTCTTGCTCAGTGATTATGAAGGGGTACATTTCACTTAAGTTGGGTAATGCCATCATTTTATTTCATTAAGTTGAGGAAACTGAAGTAAATAAACAGTTTATCATTTTATTTTGTAGCCTGACTTTGAAGATTTTGTCTCATTTATGAAAACTGCCATAAGTTATATTCTAGTTGTATCTCAAGGAAATAAAAAACTGGCTCACTTTGAAGAATCTGAATCTGAACCAGGGACCCAACCTGGAGGACCATCTGAAGACCACCATGAAGTCAAAGATAAGGTCACATCTAAAGAGGTGACAAAAAGGGACAGGTATCTCAAGACTAGAAAATATGAGGTTCATAATACATTATTAAGTAATGAAATGTAATGCACAAATACCTCAGGCTCAAAGGCCATATCATTTTAATGATAAAGTCCCAAGTATATCTTCCAGTCAACTTAATATTGTACATTCAGCAAGGCTGGGATTACGTTAAAAGTTTATGCCAAGAGGATTAACCCCACTGCCACTGAGTTGATTCCAACTCATAGTGACCAGATAGGACAGAGTAGAACTCCCTTATAGGGTTTCCAATGCTGTAAATCTTTACAGAAGCAAATTGCCTTATCTTTCTCCCACAAACCAGCTAGTGGTTTTGGATGGTTGACCTTCCAGTTAGCAGATGAGTGCTTCTACCATGGTGCCACCAGAGTTCCTGCCAAGAGGAATAGAGAGGAAATGATCTTCCCTGATGATATTTCTAAAGCTAGGCACACCAGTCTAACATCATAGCTTAGAACTAGAGGGGTAGATTGGGACCATTCATAATCTTTCCCAACTCACCCTCCACTTTCATGTCCCCCATCCCATTTCCACCTTCCTTGTGCCCTAAAGACATCAAATATAGTCTGCTGGTTTACTTAGGGCAGTTAGTAGTTATAAATTCCTGAGAAAAAAATGATTACATACTTTGTAAATGGGTTTTTAAAATTACATTTGAAATTAGACACAAGTAATTTGCGTAATGTTCATTTTAAGTGTTGCCATTTGTGCCTTTGATTTCTCTCAAAGCTCAGAATATTCAAAGGATTTGACACAGAGTTGTCAGAGCCATGACTGAAATAAAGGTGGGTGAGCAAGAACACAGAGTCATTGAGTCTTGTGACTTCAGGGTATGTGTCTCCTTCTACTTGACAGCCAATTGCCCCTGCATTTTCTAGTTTTTCTTTGTTGCCTTGTTTATAAATTTTAGTGGTTTGCAAGGAGTTCTGGTGGTGTAGTGGCTAAGACATTTGGCTGCTAACCAAAAGGTTGGTGGTTTGAAACCACCAGCTGCTCTATCGAAAAAAGATGAGATAGTCTGCTTCTGTAAAGATTTACAGCATTGGAAATCCAAGGGAGGTCTCTATGAGACAGAATCGGCTCCATGGCTGTGAGTTGGGTTTGGTTTTTGTCTTGAGTAGCTGCATCTCGAGGTTTCTGGAACTGTCCTATTTTACTAGGTAGTGGGAAGGCCCCAAATAACATTAGTTCAAAGTTGCAAACACGATAATACCTGTTCCAACTCATGGCAACCCCATGTATGACACAGTACAACTATGATCCATAGGGTTTCCAGTGGCTCATTTTTTTAGAACTACTTGCCAGTGCTTTTCTTTATGAGGGTCCTCTACATGGACTTGAACCTCCAACTTTTCACTTAGCAGCTGAGCATGTTAACCATTTGAGATGCCAGGGAAGGGACTCTTAAAGGAAATCACTTCTGACAAAGAGCTTTGTAAACAGTACTAGTTATTTTCAGGGTTTTGAGAGGAAATTATAATGAGCGGATGGGGGAGGGTTTGGATGGGGAATGTTGGGCTTAAAAACATACCATATTTCATGCCAGAATTTATAAGATATTAAACAAAGAAGTGGTCTGTAAAACACTCATTAGTGCAACTAGTGTAAGAGAAATTACTAGTCCATTGGTGCTATTTTTCAGGTAAAATTGCTATTCAATCTAATTTTGAAACTATTGTCCCCATTTGTTCAATACCTACATAACAATCTGAACAATTTAGGCATTTCAATTAGATGAATGTGGTGGGATGAGATGTGTACATCTTACTTAGACAAACTCTGCAGTATTTTTTTCCTAAACTTAAAAATCAAACGAATTGTTATAGAGTAGATTCCAAGTTATAGTGACCCTATAGAACAGAGTAAAACCACCCCATACAATTTCCAAGGCTTTGATTTTTATAGAATTAAACTGCTGCATCTTTCTCCCATAGACATACTGGTGGATTCAAACCACCAACCTTTGGGTTAGCAGCCGAGAGCTTTATGCACTGCACCATCCACTATTTCTTCCTAAACTCAAGACCTTCCTTTTTGTGTGTGTGGCCCATGTTTATTCTGAGCAATGGCCACTAGAGGGTAGCATGGAATGGTGCTAGTCTAGAAAATGAGGTTTTTTTTTACATCTCTTGTTCTGGAAGCAGGCAGGGCTCACCAGGTGCCATGCACATCCACCAGACATCTTTTAAGTGCACCCAGAAGCTAAATATTTGAAGGGCACAAACCCTCGAGATTAATTTATACATTTGTTTGCTTTTACTTTTTTGTTAGCCTCTTCTGCTACCTCAAAACATCCTCGCTCTCTTTTCTGGGGCTTGGTGGGTGAGCTGAAATGGAAGTTAAAAGTAGAACAAGTGAAATAGAGATGATAGGTGACCCTTCCATGAATATGATGGAGTCTTTGGATGGTGCAAACAGTTAAACACTTGCCTACTAACCAAAAGGTTGGCAATGGGAACCACCCAGAGTCACCTCAGAAGAAAGACCTACTTCTGGAAGATCACAGCCATTGAAAACCCTGAAAAACCAAAAACCAAACTCACTGCCGTCAAGTTAGATCCAACTCATAGTGACTCCTCCTTGGGTTTCCGAGGCAGTATCACTACGGAAGTAGATTGCCCAACCTTCCTTCTGAAGAGTAGCTGGTGGGATTTGACCAACTTTCTGGTTAGCAGTCAAATGCCTTAGGTACTACGCCACCAGAGCTCCCATTGAAAACCCTAGGAGGCATAATTTCACTCTGATTGTGTTAGTTAGACTTGAAAGCAACTAGTTCCATGAACATGAACTCTGTCCTGGAAGCAGAGCCCCAGGTCTTTGTCACATTGTTTATCCCTGCAGGGACAAATGTTCACAGTTTGTGAATGCCCATAACATGAGGGAAACTTTCTCCATGCCAGAGATGGCCAAACTGTTCCACTCTGTTTAGATCCTCAACAAAAGATATGGAGAAAATGCTGTGGTGCTTTCTCCACTGAAGGTTTAGTGTGTGCTGGCAGGAAAGGTCTGAGGTCAGGAGACAGGGACCTGGACACAGGCTACAGACCCAAGGAAGAGCTAACAAAGACTTGTGATGTCCAAGGGAAAGGTTGATATTGGGTTTTCCCAACCCCCAAAATGTCAAGATGAAGCTGAGTGGGATGACTGAATGCCCAGCACTTTCAGCTTTTCCACTTGTTCCTGCTGGGGATGACAGCCTGCTGGCTTCTATAGCACAACCCATGGCCAACAGGTCACTTTACCATCTATCTACAGGAGTCTCACCACTTAATACTCCAATAACCAAACCTAAGTTGCAGTGATAAGAACCCTGGTAGAGTAGTGGTTAAAGCATTGGACTGCTGACCAAAAGGTTGGTGGTTTGAATGCATCAGCCATTCCATGGGAAAATGGTGGGACAGTCTGCTTGCATTAAGATTTATAGCCTTGGAAATGCTATGGAGCAGTTCCACTCTGTTGTATAGGCTCACAGTAGTCCTGTTGAGTCAAGTTCCAGTGAGACAACAAGAAAAATAAGTACCCACTGAAGGGAGCCTAGCAGCCAGAGAAGGATCGAGAGAACAGTCAAAACACATGCCCAGTGATAAAGAACTGGTAAAGACAGACAAATCCCCAAATAATAATAATGATAATGCTTGAAATACAAATGTAACACACACACACAATTTCTAATATGAATTATAAAAATCATGATTTGAACTAGAAATTCAGAGGATAATTAGAGAGTCTGCAACTTGAATTAATGGTGTAGAGAATCAAATGCAAGAAATAGTTCCAAGTACAGAAGAAAAATGAAATAGAAATCATGAGAGCAGAAGTGAATAATCTGGAGACTAGATCTGGGAGACATGATATGCTAATGAGAAAAGTTCCACACAGAGAAAAGAAGGAAGGTGGTGAAACTGTGATTCAGCAGATAATAGAAAGTAAGAAAAAAAAATATCCCAAAGTGAAGGAAAAAAGATATAAACATGTCAATCAATCTCACTGACCCTCCCCTCGCTGACCCTCCAAAAGAGGAGACAAAAAAGGAAAATGAAGTTTTTTAAGGCTCTTATTTTTTGGGGATATGGGGAAGGGAGGGAAAATGGAGTGTTAAAGTTGGGCAATAGTGTGCCAGGAATGCAAGAAATAATTAGGACAAATTTTTCAGGTCATGAATTCTCTATGGATTATAGGGTTATAGGGTCACTTTGGGACAGAAGCAACTTGATGGCAGTGAATTTTTTTGGTGTCTGGTTATGAGAGCAAGTAAAAGATGATAAACATTACTTTGGTGCACAGGTGTAGTACAACTACAATAACGGGGGAGAGGAGGTGCAAAAAGATGCAATAAATAGCAAGTTGATCAGACCAGAAAAATAAGAAAAAGGAAAAAAGAAGAAAACACAATGTCAAATAAATAGACGTATAAAATAATATGGAAGGAATAAGGAAAACATATGGCTGTTTGCTCTGAGTCTTCAGGCTGTGCCACTGGTGTTTCAAACCCAGTGGGGTGCACCTGTTGCACAGGTATCAACCCGGCTTGCAGACTGAGACAGACTAGGAAGAAGGAGGAGGCCATCCACATCTCACAGAATTGGCCAGGGAAAACCTTATGAATAGCAGAGAAACACTGTCTGATACATTACTGTGCAAATTTATGAATAGTCCAGAAACATTGTCCAATACAGAGGAGGAAGATGAGTCACTTAGCTTAGAAAGTTCTCAAAATAGGACTGGGAAAGAGCTGCATTATCAGAGTAAAATCAACCTTACTCATATGGATAAGGTAAAGCTTTTGAGACCTCCATTTGCTGATGTGGTACCACTCAAATTGAAGAGAAACAGCTGCAGACATCCTTTAATCATTGGAACATGGAATGTATGAAGTATGAACCTAGGAAAATTGAAAGTTGTCAAAAATGAAATGGAATGCATGAATATTTATATGCTAGACATCAGTGAGCTGAAATGGACTGGTTTTAGCCATTTTGAATCAGAC